AACCCAATTTAAGGGCCTTTGGGATTCTAACAACACCCCAAACCCCCAAACATCTTCTGTTTCATGAATAAAATTATGGAAAGAAAACTTCAGATTTGTTTGAAAATGCAAAAAATTCCCTAAAAAAATTAAGCCCCCCAAAAAAGTCCCTGAATTCCGTCAGAACCGGACAACCCCCCCCCCCCCCCCCCCCCCTCACGCTGGGAACTTTACCCGGTTACTTGTAAGAAGACAAACGTAAAGCAAGGGGCACACATACACCAACAACCCACGGCCTGACTAATACCTCACGCATGCACACAGATATATCATCCGGGCAGTGGCAGCCGTGGGCCGTTTCGCCCTTATTGTGGCTCATCAGGAATTTTTTTTTTCGCGGCTTCGCCGCTCAGTCGTGCTCCCGACAAAACCGCCATGCTACGCAGGCTATGTAACAACAGATCACTGTGACGCATCCTGTCCTCTAATTATCTGGTGCCGTTATGCGTTCAGTGTAAAATCAAATTGATGTGCACTGCAAGCTAGCGCTAGCAGATCTAGACAAGTTTATGAAATCCAGCCCGGAGGAGGACTACATCATCCATGAGCTAAAAATAGTGGTTATCTCATACCCAGTGTCCATCAAACGCCTGCCTTTTGGGCGTGAGAGCAGTTTGGACCTACAACGCCTGACTAACTTGCCAGATCAACATGCAGTTTATCTTCGCTACGCTGGTTGCCTTTTCCCTCTCCGCAGTAGGTAGGAATCCAACAATTGTTAACAATAATAACGTAATAATGATGATTATACCGAATCTATTGTCAAGAAAATTTGATCAGTGAATGGTAAACGGTAAGAACTTGCAGAATGTTTCGGCTTAGTCGTTTTAGCCAAGTGACTCAGATCTTCTTCACATGTAAATAATTAAGACTATTCAGTTTGGGCCTCATGGAAGGAGCAAAAGAACACCCTAAAGATTCTAGTCTAATCGAGATTTTAGTTCTTGTAAACTTCACAACGGGAAACATCATGGATTGTAAAGAAATCATGAGAAATCACGCGACCGTGGCAGTTCTTTCAAGAACATTGCAAAGGCAAGCGCTATATATTTGCTACATTTCAGGAACATAAATTTGATATATATTGCTGTATATTTCAGGTGTATATATATATATATATTTCTAGGAGCCGATTCCTGTATATCAGGAATGAGAAATGACATGATTTTGCAGCAATGTATTAAAACGCTTAAACTAAAACTGAGTACGTGCATCTTTGCAGTATTATAGTTATCATCACAAAAATAATTTATTCATTTTGCTATTAGAACTGCTATAAACTCAAAAAATTATCATGCTTTCAAAATCGCTCATTTGAAATGTACTTTTAACCTGAACTCAGATTCCAAAAATGAAGTATTTTCGTTAAATAGAAGCCGGGAAAATGAAGGCCAAAGTTGGTACCTAAGAGCGTTTTGGGCCAGGGCCAAAATTCGATACGTTCCCGTTGTTGACAGAGATGTTGCAATCTTCACAACCCTACAAGAGATAACGCATTGTGAGTTTCAAGCCCCCGGGGGGGGGGTACTCCCATACATTACCTATACGGGTATGTGCCGCCCAACGGGGTCGTGATTTTGAAGCTCCTGATTTAGAACAGGGTATCCATTTCAGAGGCGTTGTCTAGAACGGGGTATAAAAAATTGTGGATCACGGCTTTATCTTCTGCTTAAAATTATTAGTGATTATGAAGAAGCATTTATTTGATATATAAGTCGAACAAATAAAGAAATATATTTTTAAAAAAACAGGGCTATTTCAATTTACAAACTTTCTAGAACGGAGTATAAAAAATCGGCCCATTTCTAGAACGGGGTATAAGTTTTAGGGCGAATACTAGAACGGGTTATAAAAAAATTGGCCCATTTCTAGAACGGGGTATCAATTTTAGGGAAAATTTTTTTTAGAATGGGGTGCCAATTTGGAGTCCCGGGCGGCACATACCCACCCAAAAAATACCCAAGTGCCCCCCCCCCCCCGGGTTTTTTTAAATGATTTCTATGGCTGTGAAAGCCTTCCAGGAACAAATTTGGTATATGATCCTTGCAAGGGTGATGACAAATACGGCCGGGTTAAATGGCCTTATTGCGCAATTCACGCCGCGCCTAGCCTACCAGGGTGGTTGACCCTATTTTGTGCGCGGG